TCACCGTGACGACGAGTACGTTTCAGTGGCGTCGATGCAGCTCCGACGTACGTGCCTTCCTCCCCTTTCACCTTTTCTGTCTCGCTTTTGCATCGCCTCTATGAGCCTTCCCACATGCTTGATGGTAGGTACGGTTACTCGTCCGCGATCACGCGAGGCAGTTTTCGGTAGTATTTCTTCGATTCTATAGATTTCACACGATATCTAACGTTATCTCGTGTACTAATATTTGAAATCTGAATAGTTCAAAAATTTGGATATTTACGAAATTCTTGAAATATTTTGTGTGTATAAATATAGGTTAATATTTGTCTGCAAGCCCCTCTATGTGGAATTAAATAGTGATTATCCGCGTTCGCAAAATTACCCGGTATCACGAGAAATCTGTGTACCGCTACGCCGATTGACATTACGCCACTCCTTGCCTCTTCGCGCACGCTGCTTTTCGATCCTCCCGGTAATACGCGATAACATGCATGCGGTAAGCCATGCGGTATTCAGCCATTCGTATATTTGTGACTTCGTTTATTACCCGCATGCACGTGTCCTGACCGAGTGCCACTCCAGTGTACAGCATTAAAACACGCACAGCCCGAATATCGACCGCATATTTGCTCTGACTAATGAGCGCTTGATGGGCACTGTTAATTATTGTTAGGCAACGTAATAATTACCGGCGGTAGAGTAACGGGACGCGTCAATGGGGTCTCCCGCATAAAGAAGACTGCTTCTAGGAGGATGTTGCATCTAAGCCGACAACGCAAAGCCTTCGACGTTTATAGATCGATGACTTTTGATCGTTAACCGTTTACCTGTCATAAGCGCGTCGTCTCAAGCAGGAGTACGCCGTTATTAATTATGCATTATATTTTCTTCACGTCATACACGTTTCAGTCTCTTATTAATCATTTAAATCTTTGCAATACATTTCAATCAAGCTTATACGGGGACGCGAATGTACGCATTATATACTTTTGTACGTGCGTGTATGCGTGTGTGCGTACATCGTCAAAACGTGGCGGGGAAGATTCGAGAAGATTAGCCCGACAAAAATTATTATCTGTTATTCACTTAAACATTTCCCCATTTGTGTCGTTATCGGGTAACATATCGGTGTGTTCTCGACCTCGAGGGACCGAATTATCTGACGATCTTCACGCCAGTGGCGCTAGTGGTGGTCGTCTGCAAAAAGAAATAAACTAATTGCAGACCGGCGCTCGCATGAGGCTAGATTCCGGGAATGATGCGAAACAGTATCTTTCCGACTAATTAAATTACTCGCCGTGAAATCAGCGGGTGAGCGAAACCAGCGTTACGCTATAGGACGGGAAAGGCGGCGCGAAAAATTGCGAGGAAAGAGACAAGAAGAAAGAGAGAGAGAGAGAGAGAGAGAGATCCTTGAGCGGCACATTTTACCTCGAATTACGCAATAAATTGTTGGATTAACATCCGTTTCTGTCGGCGATAACGAATCCCGGTCGTGATTAAAATTGTCCGGGTCGCGCGCAAATCGTGCTAATGATCCGCGAGCGGTGACAAGTTTGCGAGGCGTATTTTTTCGCAGTTCCACGGAATCGCCTCGGGCTCCCTCGTAAATACGCCTACGCGTACACTCGGATTCTCCATTTTCAATGCACCCTGCTATGCATGGAGAGCAAAGAAACGTAATAAACGACAGCAGTCAACCGTTTCTAATGTTAACTGTGAGAAATCAGTTGCACGAAATGATTCTCGTATAACTACACGCGCATTCTTTTACCGAATTCTCCGCGTAATTGACATTAAAAGTCATCTGACACAAGTTATTCCCTGCTCTTTGTCGAGAAACCGAAATAGTATAACAATAATTTAACATTCCGCGTAGTATCGTTTTGTATATATTGTTGCAGCAGCTTTGCTTTGACGTAACTATAATGTACTTGACACACATTATGTATATACTTATCTAGAATCTAATATTGACCTACCGGATTTATGTGTTTAGTGAGATAAACGTCATTCAGTGAAAAGTCAATTTGCACTAATGAATGTTAGACAACTGTTCAGTACTGTTATTTGTCCACGTCTACTTTGGCGAAATATCAATATTTTATTACGATTATGTTATTGACATTCTAGCGAAGCCAGGAATTAAATATATGATCCATCGACGGCAGATAACGATTCATTAGCTTTCCATTGAATTAAAATTGCATTTAAATTTTATATATAGAAATAAAAATGCTTTTGCTCTTATAATTTGTTCTATATATATACGATTGGCACAGTCCCTTTGTTAGCTTGTTAATTGCATTGTCCGAGCGATATAAGATATAATAATAACCAAGACTTTTCTCTCGCCGAGTGCAAGTTTAATGTCGTGTAAAGTTGCATCCTTATAGCATCCCTCGTGACACTCGCAACGAGCGCAAATCCACCACAGCGATGGTTTCGCTCGCTCTAAGGCCGGCACCATTTCGCCTAATTATAAGCGAGGAGATTTTTCCATCCTCTGCGTGCGCGCGCTCCGGAATCCTGTTTCCTCTTGCCCGTGGAAATCGTTAATTCGACGACGGAAGGTCTCCTTCGCGAATTTGCGAGCGAGCGCTGCAGATTCGCGGAGATCAGGTCGTCGACAGCGGGGGGTACGGCGGCCGCGCGACGAGAGAGTATCACTAATTGAAGGTGCTTCCGCGTGAGAAGTGGTGCTCCGGATGATCCTCCTCTCCTCCTCCCCCCCTCCCCCTCTCTCTCTATCTGTTTTTGTGACCGTGCACGGCTCGTGCTTCGTGGTTCACGATGGCGTGCTCCTTCGTATTTACGCGCCGCGATTCGGTACGGTACCCGGCGGGAACTCTCACGCGTTTACCGGCACGGCCAGGACGGTAGCCTTGCCTTTGATTTCTTGTTTCTAAGCGGACGAGCGCTCCGCTGCCGTCAGCTGATAGCTAATTGGTCGCGCAAGTGCGAAGTAAGAGTGGGCGAATAACGACGCGGCGTTTTATCGCGGGTTTTATCGGGGTGCTTTATCGACGAATATAACGCGGCCCTCATGACAGCCTCATACTTATGAGCACGCGGCGACACACATAGGTTGTTTGCGATATCCGCATGCATTGCATAGCGATTCCTTTGGTCATGATACTTTGTCATAAACGATTATCATTTTACGGTACATTTAAATGTGCGCTTTTCTACTGTGTCAATTTTATCGGTATGAAATAACTATTTTGAAAAAAAAATATATGAAAAATTCTAGCACAATATAATAATACTTACGAGACGCTTATACGATTGGAATGTATTTATGTATACGAGACGCTTATACGATTGTATGTATTTCTTTTAATTTTTAGAACGCTAGAATGCGTTTTAATACAAATAAACGAAAAGAAATAAATGCTATATTAATTTAATTTTCTGTGTAAAAAGAATCACGGTTGTTTGTATCTCAATCTTCATCCTCAATGTATTCAGTATCGTGCTCGCGAGATGTCGGTCAACTAATGCAGATGTTTGCATTGAATTGACTGGTGTACTCGATCCGCAATTCCCCACGTCCGGGAGTGACTGATCTCGCGCAATATTATTTACATGAAACATAATCCGCGGTACTCGCGCGACTTGCTTGGACTGATACGAGAGGGAAAAATGAAACAAGAACATATAGAGCTTATGAATAAGCAAAGTTAATAAATAATAATAAACTTTAAATCGAATCTATCGTAATCCTCTTTGTGTAATAATTCTTTTATCAATTATTCTCTTTTGTGTGAAATATCTGTGGCTTAATCCATTCCTCTGGAACCTTCCTTTATTTGCGCAAATTTTTCGTCAATCTTCCTCTGCAACTTCTTTATTTTACCTTTTTATGTCACCTCAATATATCTCATAAATCCGCATAAGTCCTCAATTCTGCGACAATCCATAATTGTTGACATATTCTCTATCTTCATAATAACTTCTCTCATAGTTTCCTTATTAATATCCTTGCCAATAGGCAGAACGCTCTCCAAAAAGGCTTTAACTCTAATTTGTGTTTCAAGTCACAAGTTGTCGTATTATGTTGTACTGCGGAAAAAGATGTACCACAAAGAGTGCTCGATACAAATGTAACAGTAACGAAGATGCAATGTTCTACATTATCATCTATGTCAATTTTGAAAGAAGGATATTTCTTTGCAAACAAATAATATAACAAAATAATAATTTTTCCTAATATAATTTAAAGTTCCAGTTTAGAACTCCAGTTTAGAGAAAAAAAATTTCTATTCTTTTTCAAAATGCAAGGACTTAAAGATGATACATTTAGTTAGGAAATTAAACAATATGAGAAATATAAGAATTCTTATCTACTATAAATTTCACATTCACAATGTCCTCCTGACTAAAGTTTTCAAACTTCTTCGATTTTCTGTAATGTAATAAATTGAATGACAACAGACATAGATAACACGTTTACATTGTAATTTAAGAATATACTCATATTAATTGTGAGAAATTGATATAAAAAGACTCCCGAAAGAAAAAGTTTTGTAGTTCCATTAAATACAATATAAATTTTTGTGTCAAGATTTTTAAATGCGATTTTTCGTCCTACTCTGATTTTTTTCTAATTCCTTATGTTAAATTCTCTTCTTTCTTATTTCTTTTATTGCGTCTAAGCCCTTTAATTTGATCCGCGACATATTTATAATTTTATACGCTATATTCGACCTAAACACGAAGATCGCGACGGTATCATGTTTAGATTATAAATTTCATGCAGCCCGGGACCGAAGTTGGAGAATACGCGATTTTGTTATACTCGGATATGTGTGATATAGGATATAATGTAAATAAGTATAGAGACTATTGCAATTATAACATTTTGTATTTTCTGATTATAAAAAAAGAAAGTTTGTGTGTGTAAAAAGATATATCAAAAATAATGTAGTACAAAAAATATAATAACGCGTTTGCTAATATAATTAATATTCAATTCTCTATTGAAATAATTTTTCTAAAAAGGTATTAATTATTCATGAGAAGAATATATTATTTCTAAATTATTTTAAAATATGTACACAGATTCTCTCTCTCAAAATCAAGAACTATTTCATAACCATCGTCACCATCGATAATTGGTGCCACTTCTTCATGTGAACACAATTCAGAAAGATCGTATTTGGAAGTATCGAATGAAAATCCTAGTTCGCACTTTATCTTGTCTTTACTTCTCAAGCACTCCAGCATAGTTAAGTTTGCAAAATCTTTGGGGGCATTTTTCTTAATATATATCCATGTATGAAAAGCTTTTGTGTCTAACTGTTTACAAGTCAACAAAACATTCAATGCACACGCAGTCATGGCTTTTCTGTACCTTTTATTATTATAATGTACAACAGTTAGTCCGTGCAATGCAAGAGAAGTAATCTTCTCAAGATTCTTAGAATGATTGAGATATATAGATTTGAATCCCTCGAGTTGAAAGATGCAGGTACATAAAAAGGAGAATAGACATTTGCTTTCCTCATAAACATGCTCAGACAATATGCCTAGTTTATAAATTAATTGACAGCAAATACACCATAGACGTATCCAATGGGTTATCCTTTCGTTTTTCTCTATTTCGATAATAATAGATTGGATGCTTTTCTTTAAAATATTCTTAGCCCTAATACACACTTCGACCGGCAAAGTTTTAGCAGGAAAATGTACTATGAAATAACAGATATCTATGTTTGTTTTTAGAAAATCGTCTAAATTATTCATAGTACTGCAGCAGTTCATTTCGCACCCTCTATAAAACTTATTTATATTTATAGTAATAAATAATTTCATTAATTCTAGCAAGATGCCAGTATCGAGCAAATGTTGGAGCATATGTTTATCAGTCATCGCACAATTGTTCCAGTATTTAATTAGGAGCTGGCTCACCTGTAGATTGCCGAGTGCATTAAATTTAAGACATTGAGTGTATCCGTATTTTTGCGCATTATTTAAGTTACAATAAATGATATTTTGAACACTTTTGGTATTATCGCTGGTGAGATTTTTCATTGGCACTAAAAGAGTCTTACAGAAGTTTTGGAATTGTTGAAAGCACTGGTAGCATTCCTCGTCTTCTGCCAGAACGGTCTCAAAATAAGTAAAAAATTGGTTTAATGTTTCTACTGTGCATCCCATATCTGCATATTTGCTTGTCTTCATGTCATCATTAGAAGCATCCCACATATTAATACCATTTATTATATGGCATATGATATTAATAATATAATGATATATTTCGTATTTCTCATTTTCGTCCAAATACAACTCCAGTTTTGACAAGCATTCTAATATATATTGACCAAAATTGTTATAATACTTTTTATACTTGAAATCAGTTAAACTACATAAATTTTTGTTTATTTTATCAAGCAAATAAGTCGTATAATTTTTATATCTTATCTGAATTACTTCCATTTCTTTATTCAGAACACTTTTAAATTTACTGTAATTTTCTGCATTTGTTTCAATTTGAAATGTTCCATACGTGTTGAAAGTTAACGTGTTCCACAAGTAATACACTTTTTCCAGAAAATCCTCCCTGATATTGCATCGTATATAGTCAGAATCCAAGAAAAAACAGATATCTACCGCATCCTCGTATAGATTAAAAGAAATTAAACATTGTGTAATTTTAAATATAGCTATGACAAATGTTTCATCAGCTAGCTTCTTAGATAGCACGACTGTGCAAAGTATTTTAGTTAATTTTGCAATGCTCTTTCCAGTCTCGTAGTTCCGTTTATCACATTTTTCTGCCGTGCGGCACAAATGTACTAACAATTGAAGTATACTGTCGGGTCGCATATGGCTACTCATCTGAAAGATATTGACAGTGAGAACGTGTTCACAAATAAAGATATTATTTAATATTTCAAATGAGAGAAAAAGAACATACCAAGAGTATATCCTTCGACACATCTTGCAGTTTCTCCGACTCTATTAGTTCCATCCAAGTCTTAATTTTTGCCTCTATCTCGCCGATCTCCTCCATCTCTCTCGGGAAATATAAAATCGTATTAAAGTATTAAACTGTCGGCCCTTCGTAAGACACCTTGCAATTCTTAATCACCATCGACAATCGAGAGACCGTTTTGCGTTTCGCCAGGCGTGATTTTAAATCTGTAACATGCGCAACGTAAACACAATATAACCTTTTCACACTTTTATGTTGTTATCAATTTAAAGGACGGTGCTTACTGAACGACAAGACGTGATGTCTGCGTGATTCGCGTCGCGAGTTTCGATTGGCTAACAAGAGCAGCGATCCGAGCATTTCTGACGATGATGAAATAATCGCGCGGATAGTGGGAATTTGATTGTCTCGAAAGAGGATCGATATTTCGCCGTTTATTTCGATGCGTCGTTACGTTTTCTCTCCTCTCTCGATTTTTCCCCCCTCGTCCCATTTCCATCGATCGATGACACAATTCGTTTCGAACTTTTTAGTCAAAAGTTTCGAACGCGAGAATAGACGACTAAATAGCAAGGAAACGGAGCAGCGGATCGAGCGAGGCTCGGTCGACGAATTTAACTCGCATGTCGAAAAATGACGTGCCGTGCGTTTCGTCGTGCGAGTTCGAGGTACGATTCTTCCGATACTCCGGAGAATCGAAGGCAGCCGATTCTCGGTGTTTCCTTTTCGGAAATAATTGAATATAATCGAGCAAGGAGAGTAGATAAGGAAGAAACTCATTCATGCGCGCGCGAATAAGCACGGGTATAATTACGTTTGCAAGTGAACAGACATATAAACGTAACGATTAAAAATATAAGTTAACTTTTTTTATGAATTTTGACGAGTATTCTCGAATATCTTTTGACAGATCGAGCGAAGTGCGCTCATGATACAAATATATTTATATCATGATGCAAGCGCGGCAATCAAAGGTTTGCCAAGGTCTGTTCGAATTGCACTTTTTTCACTTAAAATCCTCACTTTTTGTCTTTCTAACTTTCGATATATATTAATTTCGTTTTAAACACGAAGATGTATAATATTTTTGGAGATTTCAAGCAACATAAACTTTTATATAAAAGTATAATAATTATTGTTCAAATATTTATGTCGGCAGTCGACAAGTATATATCAAAAATTAATAATGTTAATATTCTTGTATTATTACCTTCGAGCCTCGCCATGCAATAATAATCACGAATATTTATCCAGAGTCGGAAACTTTCCTTCTTTGTCCGTATCGTAGATAACTATAAAAAGATCTATCTTGTGGGGGATGTTTTGACCGCGATGCGTGATGTGCCTCCGGACGACAGCGAAAACCAAAGAGCCGGCAGGGCGAAAACTTCGGGTTATATACCCGAGTAGTCGAAACGTCACCGCATTTTTCTTTGACGAAAACAGGAAATTAGTCCGATCAGCTGACGGGCACGGGGTGATCAGTAGCTGACAACTGATCAGGTGTTTTCGCCGAAAGCCGCGTCCTTGGCCCGGATGTTTACCGTCTCGGTTTGTTTGCGCGAGAACAATAACGCGCATCGCTCGTCAACCGCCCGAAAAACACAGCTCGGAAACGCTCATTTTTTTTTAGTAATCGAGCGACCGGGTTTAATGATGAATTTTAAACAGGGGACATCTCGATTTTTAAAATTCCAAGGAACCGAAGCGAAACAATACCTTTCAAAAAAATCCTTTTTATGAAGACGTAGGAATTTTAGAAATATATATATAATCTGCGATTAATTTCTAACTATTTAGAACTTTTTTTATTTATAATTATTTATTAATAGAAATTACAAGTTTTTAGTAGACGAATAGATAGTTGTAAATTCATGGAATTATTCTCCTTAACTCGGATTCTAAGCCACTGTTTATCGGCGAATTTGCCAATGACTTGAATAGAAAATGTCGCAATCAAATTTGCTCGCATATCTCTTTCCTTCTTCCTCTCTCTCTCTCTCTCTATCTCTATCCGGCAGTCTACGTCTCCTTAGAGAGACTCGGTCTTAATATTCTCTTCTCTTGTAATTCCATCTCATCTCGCGACGCGACATTTGCGAGCCGATTGCAGCAACGTTGTTGGTAAGCGCAAGATGGAAATAAGATGGTCCAGGTGAACGACAGAGAAACCGGCGGGGAGAGAGAGAGAGGCGAGGGTGGTGGAGGAGGATAGTCCTGTAGGTGAGACTAGCTTTCTCCACAATGCAATTGCCTGCACGCGCACGAGTCACAAGTCACACCGCAGAGTACAGACTCTCGTGTAGTCCATTGTCCTCATTGCATGCCCGTCTCCCTTGTAGTTTAGTGGGTTACCCACCTGGAGATTTTCCTTAGACGTGACGTTAGATAATCACTCGCGTCATAGCGTCACAGTTTTGCCGCGAAATACGCGCGGGAGGTAATAAGAGGAATGATTGCGCGCTTGCGGTATATTATCTTGCGCCTCGGTTATTACATCTTGTCTTGCAAAATAACAATTACCGAACACTTGCATCGTTCTAATTTCAAATTGGACATATTTATGATCTACATTAACTATTAATTTTGGATAATATCATTAGCTAGAATTCAGTTTTTGTTAACTAGAATTAATATGGTTCAATTAAAAGATAGTTATTTAACTGTAAATTTTAATTCTCGGAATTTTTTAAAGAGTTGCAGAACAATAATCTATTAATCTTATTTAATTGGAAAGGCACGTCGGAAAAGTGAAAAAAAGTACAGAAGGATTTTTTGCTCGACAGCCCTCCTCGTTCTAGCATTCTTATCGACGTAAACCCGGGACGTGAGTTTTTCCACGTGTGGCATGCGTGCCCCGTGGTGCATCGAGTTTGACGCACTTTCAGGGCCGATGCGTTTTTGTTGTGCGAGACTTACGAATGCATCGTGCGTGTAGTTAAAGTCCTACGCGGGTATAAAGCGCAACGGGGGGTCAAGGCGTTGCATCCTTTTCCGGAGATAATAGGGAAAAGCTCGAGGGGAAACAGAAACAGGCTAAAGATCGTTTTCATACAATTTTAATTTCACCGTAATTATTGTTTTATATTTTAATTTCACAGTTCTTTATACCAAATATATAGCACTAAATGAATTAAACGTGATTTAAAAAATTAAAAAATTGCGATTTTAATGAAATATATTTATCTGAGGAGCAGAAAAATGTGCAAGTTAAAAAAGAATTCGATAAGGTTTAGAATTATACACACACTTAAGATAAATTATAAGTAGCTATAATAAATCAGAACGACACTTGTACAATATAAAAATAATAATAAACGATAACGTTATTACGATGCTGTAAACTAAATAAAAAATTCGACAAGAGAAATATAATAACTAACAATAAGTTGAGAGCTATCCACGAGGAACGTGGCTTGAACGCTGCGCTCCTGAAGGAACGGAGGACGATGCCGTGCGTCCGGTGAGAGGAGGGCCGGAATGGCGGTGCATCGCGGCGAATCTAACGACCAAATCTCAACGCCAGTGTAAAATGCAAAACAGCAGCGAGCGCTGAAGCGAGCGGCGGTGAGGCGCGGTGCGGCAGAGGGGCTTCTTCCCCGAATGCGAATTCCACGATGCGTGGCGACCAAGGTGGAGGTCGGGTGCTCTCCGGCGAATCTCTCCTCGTCCTGCGCCCGCGCGCGCGTCCTTCTTCCACGCTCCGTCCTGCCGCCCTTGCCCTCCACGCGGGAGTGCGTGAAGCAGAACGAAAGGGGGATACGGACTGTCTCGACTCTGGACTCCGCTCCTTCCTCTCGGCCGTGTCTGTGTGTCTCGCGAGATGTATTCAGTTCTTTTGCATAATAGAGAAAATTCCGCAGTGGCGGATTTATCAATAGGCGATTTGTATCTCGCGCTTGATTCAAACAATGATTTTCATACAAACAATTAAGTGTTATGTTTATAACGTTTAGATTTATTCTTTTTATGAAATTTGAATTTATTAGGATATTTAGTTTGCGAAAAAATTGTGAAGAGAATGATAACATCAAATTGTATCGTTGCGCGTTGCAAGAAACAAATCAACATCGAATTGACCATTATTCCTTTTGGATGACTTATTCTTATTCATCAGTCTAAATTTCTGATAGTACTCATTTTATATAATTACATTCATTGTTAATTTCCAAAATGACTGTTCGCCAAATTAAAATCTCTTGAACTTTCGCTTCGTGAATAGAGAGGTGAAGGACATTCAGTTTTTTTTGAAACTCCTTTCGTTTCGTTTTTTACAACTATTCCCTCTCTTTAGAAATTAGCTTATCAAGGAGACTGTCAAAAATTGCAGACAATCAAAAGTTGCGTCCACGCGCTAAATGGATGCCGCTCGAATTAACGTCGCGGCGCGCTATACTTTCCGGAAATTAATGGTCCACTCTGTTGCGCGAATTTCTGCAACGGCGACAAAAGAACGCGCTTATTTAACGGCACTTTCGCCGCACTGAACTTCGTTAGCCATTAACGCCGGTTTGCACTCATCTCTCTGTCTGTCATCCCCGGGTGAAATTAGCGCTCGGCGCTTTCCTCTGGTCGGATTATGAAAACGTGGCGCACGTGCGCGATCACCTTTATCCAATTATTTTCAGACTTTTATCTCCGTCGAACGAAACATTAGAGTGCTGCAGCGATAGGTGTAATGGACGGCACGTGTTACGTACAAGTATGTCAGTCACTCTATTACGACATCTAATCAGCGCTCGTAGATAATGTATCCCTATCCTTCATTCACTTTGTTGTTACTCAACGTACAAATGAAACTTTCGTGCTTCGGCGATTGATAAGTCTTTAATCTATTAATCTTTTTGATAATCTATTAGCATGATACATGCTATTTATTGGAAAACTACGTAGTCAGAGATAATAGAATATTGGTTATCAGTAACGTGGAGCGTTAAATTTTTCCGCAAGGTTTCAGACATTCAGTTATTGTAAATTTTTTTCGACAAGGGAATTCACAACGTAAGACAAGGCTTTCCGCCTTTATTGCGTTTTTACTGCTAGAGGAAAATTTCGCGATGCGAAGTCGGGTGTCGAGCGTGACAGGGGAGGAGCGTCACGGGACGATCTTCGAGGCGCGGCGTGCGTGAGTTAAGATCGCGTATACTGTTAATAAATAATGCAGTAATGGGCGTTCGGGTTGAAGAGGTAGCCGGTAAATGCGGCGGAACGGAGAAAGCCGCATTATTTACGCCCGCTGGCGGCTCGGGCTGCGGCGCGGTGACAAGTTTAAAAAGCCGCGGGAAGTAATAACCGAGGTGTCCGCGGATTAAAAGGCGTGACACTGCTAGTTCCAGCGATCACTCTTCCCCGCAACGATGTAATTAAATCCTACAACATACGTATGTACGTTTGTCTACTCTTTACGACCACTCCGCCCCGGCGTCTCTGCTATCCTCCCCCTCCCCCCCCTCGCCCTCTTCCTCCCCCTCGTTGCTGGTTGCGTCATGTGTATAATGTTATGCTAACGGCGACGATCGGACCGCGACAATCGCAGAGCCTCGGAGCTAACGCGCCGGTGACTGAACGTTTGAGACCTTGACGCGCGCGAATTCACGTGGTCACGCCTAACGGGACTTTTTCGCGAGCCCAAAACGTGAGTCTCCTCGGCGTGTAGCGTGGCTTAGCCTCGAGGCTACAACATAAAATGTTGTGCAGACTATATTGGCTGTCGCTAACGTGCTCAAGTCTGAATGATGCTTGTCTCGAAGTCGAATCATCGATAATTAAAGCGTAGCTCGAAGCGGCTGCGTGACCAACTAATTTGAAAGTTTTCAGACGAGCCAGATAACGAAATTGCAAATCGAAAACATTTCCTGTACACTATAAGTTCGCCGAGCTAATCTTTCATTTTTTCAGTGATTTATAAACGTGCAATTTTTGATTAAAAAAAAAATTATCTTCAAAATGATAAAAACGATTACATCGTAAATATATAAATTGAAATTGGAAAATGAAAGAGGGAAGATATAGAGTTCCGAAAAGTATGTATTGTTTAAATTGTTCTACTTCGAAATTAGCAGTCTCTCGTTTTTCTCGGACAACTTGCAGGGAAACCCCGTGCAAATAAAGGTAGAGGGGGAAAGAAAAGGGAAAAACGCTTGTGGAGGAAACGAGCGTGCGGCTCCTCGTTAGCGAATCGCGACTTAATGTCTCACTTGGCGAGCGAAATTGATAGCGGCGCAATTAGACGCGTAAATTGTACGCGTCTGCTCGTCGTTGCTCGTTGGACGCGCGCAGCGAGGCGGGCCTATCTGTCCATAAAATGACAATGTACTCCGATGGCGAGAGCGAGGTGGTGGTAGTTACGTACACGGTAAAACGTTTAG